GAACCAGTCGGGTAGTGGCGATGACCTTCTTATCTATCATCAACCGCAATGCAATTTCCTTCTCTCGCCTCGTCATATCTCCAAAATATTTGAAGTTTGATGGAATGAGATCTTTGAAGGACACGGTAGCGTTTGGTCCCCCGTCCTTAGCCGCTATGCAATGGAACAGCTCCTTCTTCCCCTGCACCTCTTCAGTGTATTGGCCCGGCACCCGGCCTTCCTGCTTTCCGGGCAAGTCCTTTGGGCATTTGTTGTCGTGCATACCAGGTCCTTGCATGTGGCGACATTCATGTACCCCCTCATTCTGTTCGTCCAGTCCTGCTGCCACTTCCCAGAGATACACTCGGTCCACAATGCTTTCTCACACGACTTCCCCATGCACGACCTCAAAAATTCCCTCCATGTTTTCTGGTGCTCCAAGCCCTTGGGATCCCCTTTGGACACGTTCCCCACATGCCCGATCCGTTTCTTGCTGTCCCAAAATCCTCTGATGTCCACGCAGGCTTGGTGGAACGATGGCAACATAGCACGGTCACCTCGCGTGTTGTCATATGTGGAAACATAATGGTACCCGTTCGTATGGTCATCGTCAAAATAAATGATCCGTACACGATCATAATTCCGAAAGCCGAACACCTCCACCGCTGCAGAGTTCTTCGCCAGCGCTCTTTTCATAGCTTTGGAAGAATGTTGACTGGCAACCGGGTAATAGAAAAACTCATCTGCCCGTTCGGGGTCGAAATCCTCTGAAAGGACGCGGGTTCCTTGTTCGTCCGCGTCCTTTGATGGATTAATCGGAGCCAGCACCAACTCCGGTGGATCCCACGGAGCCGGATCATCCACAGACTGTGGGCGAGTTGATGCTCCAATTGCCGCTTCGATGCCTGCGACGATGGCCGGGTTCGACGCTCGCTGGTTGAAGGTGATCTCTCCCACCGGAATCGAAAGAATCTGCATGACGTCAATGACCACCCCAGGCGGGTCCTTTCTCTTTTTGCCGTCCTCGTCGTACTCGAGGAATAAGCACTGCGTCATGTTCACCGCTTTGGGTTTCTTCGTCTCCGGTTCGTCGTCGTCAGGGATGGAGAGCAAACGAGGGGCCACCCCTTCAGCATCGTCGCTCGAGTCATCCGATTTCGGGTGCCTCGACGGCCGCACAGGCTTCCTGGGTTGCGACGTTTTGCAAACCCGAGCTTTGGATTTGGATTCCACACCGGCTTCACCAGGCGTACCAGCAGCTGCATGCAAGGCGAGCCGAGCGTCCTGCACAGCTTTTCTTCGAGCCTGCTTCTTAGGCGCGGCTCGCTTCGACGACGATTCCGCTGTGCGTTTTCCCCTCCCCTTCGAAGTAAGCTCCGAGGAAACATCGACATCCTGTCCTTCGTCTTTCATTTCCTCGTCTTCCATTTCCTCATCTTCCATATCCTGGTCTTCCATCTCCGAACCACCCACATTACCACCGAGCACCCCGCCGCTTGCCGCTGCCTTTTCGCAATCCATGTGGTCCTGCCCACCACCACATTCTCCTTCATTCTCATCGTCTTCTCCATCGCCCCTCGCCCGGGCTTCGTCGCCTCTACTATCCTCCCGCTCTGCATTCATATCGCAAGAGCCTTCGCCCTGGGTGAACCTTCGCGTGGCTAGTGACTGGGATTGCAATCGGCAAATCCGTTCATCGTCCTCCGTCTTCTCGCTTGACTCCTCGTCTATTCGACGTTGGGAGGTGTCCTGCGAGCGCGAGCTTCTACCGGCACGCAAGCTTCCCGGAAGACTGGAAGGTGGTTTGTCGAGCACCTTCTTCTTCGGAACGTTTCCCGATGACCCACCGCTCGGACGCCTCTGGTAAGTAACGAGTTTCTCCTTCGCGGACACCGATGGTTGCGGAGTCGAGACATCCTGCCGCCGATCGCTAGAGCACGCTGACAAGCCTGCGAGACTTTCTCCTGGAGCGTCGAACGACACAAGAGGCAACGAGAGCTGGTAACCAGCGGAGACCGTCGGGTATTGACCACTTCTCCTATACCCATTGGTCTTGGTGAGGAATACAATGGGTAAGAGCATCCTCGAAGCATTCCCGTCCCGCTTGCTGCTGAAGGCTTTCATATCGAATGCCTTCTGACCATACCCCTTGAACAGAGCAATGTCAAGGCTGACCTTGTGGTCAGTCTTGACCCAGTTCATACCCTGCTCATCGTACACCGAAGTGAGGAAGAATTTCCTCAAATCTCGGTCGTCGACCTTACCCTTGTCCGCCGTGGCCTTGTCAACTTCAGACCTGATGATMCCGCCACAACAATACCAGGTCGTCCCTTCGTCCTCCGTCAATAATACAGCAGCACCGCACCCGGGCTCGCCGGGCACTCCGACCCAGTCGACAGCCCACAGCTTGTCGCAGTACAGTTTTGACCTGTTGTTGTACCTCTTATCCGCATCCTCAGGACACCTACGACCTTTCGCTGGAGGAGATATCAAAAAGAAAAAGAACGAGGAATGCATCAATGACACCTATCTCTATCTCCCACATCACAAGATGGAAAAAAAGAAAATACAAAAGCAATTCCACGCCACATGCCGACGGCAGACCTATCTCTACCTCACACTATGGGCAGCAACCGCATGTGTCGACCCTGGGGATTGCGGGGGTCCTGCGTTTGCCAAACGCAAGACCCCCGACTGCCGACCGACACATCGGGGGGGGGGGGGGGGGGGGGGGGGGGGGGGGGGGGGGGGGGGGGGGGGGGGGGGGGGGGGGGGGGCGGGGGGGGGGGGGGGGGGGGGGGGGGGGGGGGGGGGGGGGGGCCCTGCGTCTGACTAACGCAGGGCCCCCCCCCCAACGATGAATCGGCTGATAGCCGGGGGATCCTGCGTTTGACAAACGCAGGACCTTCCGCTACCGGCCCGCACATTGGTGGGAAGTCCTGCGTTTAGCAAACGCAGGACCCCCGCAGATGTGTCGGCCACTAGCCGGAGATCCTGCGTTTGTCAAACGCAGAACCCCCGACCGGTAGGGGACAATCGGGGGGGGCGGGGCGTCACGCGTTTACCAAACGTGGTGGGTCCTGCGTTTGCCAAACGCAGGACCCCCCTCGCGTTTGGCCCGAGCACCCGCCGGGGGGCCTACGTTTGGCAAACGCAGGACCCCCCCGCGATTGCCCCGGCAGTCGGCCGGGGGGGTCCTACGTTTGGCAAACGCAGGACCCCCGGCGGGTGCTCGGGGCAATCGCGGGGGGGGTCCTGCGTTTGGCAAACGCAGGACCCACCGGATGCAGAACTCTCGGGGCAATCGCGGGGGGTCCTGCGTTTGCCAAACGCAGGACCCCTCCCGCGATTGCCTCGAGCACTCCACGACACGGGTCCTGCGTTTGGCAAACGCAGGACACCTCGGCCGACTGCCAGGGCAATCGCGGGGGGGGTCCTGCGTTTGCCAAACGCAGGCCCCTTAGCGGGTGCTCGGGCCAAACGCGCGGGGGTCCTACGTTTGGCAAACGCAGGACCCCCCCGGATGCCGACCGCCCGCGGCGAACGCAGGGGGTCCTGCGTTTGGCAAACGCAGGACCCCCCGCGCGACTGCCCCGAGGAAACGCGCGTGGGGGTCCTGCGTTTGGCAAACGCAGGACCCCCCGCGCGTTTGCCCCGGTCACCCCCCCATTTTTGTTGGATCCTACGTGGCCAGCGACCGATCCTACGTGGCATTACACATAATGACAATCTCATTTTTGTTGAAAAGTTCGAGAAAAAAAAAGGGGGAAGGTTCGATCCCCCCCCATTAAGGTCAACGCCTGATCCTAAGTGGCATTACACATAATGACAATTTCAGTTTTGTTGAAGAGTTCGAAAAAAAAAAAAAGGGGAGGGTTCGATCCCCCCCCCCTTGAGGCGAGCGACCGACCCTACGTGGCATTACACATAATAACAATCTCAGTTTTGTTGAAAAGTTTGAAAAAAAAAAGGGGGGAGGGTTCGATCCCCTTCCGCTAAGGCCAGCGCCTGATCCTATGTGGCATTACACATAATCACGATCTCATTTTTGTTGAAAAGTTCGAAAAAAAAAAAGGGGGAGGGTTCGATCCCCTTCCGTTAAGGCCAGCGCCTGATCCTACGTGGCATTACACATAATCACGATCTCATTTTTGTTGAAAAGTTCGAAAAAAAAAAAAGGGGAGGGTTTGATCCCCTTCCGTTAAGGCCGGCGCCTGATCCTACGTGGCATTACACATAATCACG